GCACAAGTAATGAAGTAATGAAGTGCAGGTTTCCTGGCACAGCAAACAAGGTGATATTCCCAGAGATACAACTGCTCAAAATGGATTTTAGCAAATTCTGCTATACCAATTAAAGTGCAAAGACGCACATTCACCTGTTGGTTGCAGTGCTGAAAGCCGTGATTCCACTGCCTATTATAGATACGTTATAGAGGTGGGGCAGCTTCTTTGAAATCAGCACTGAAGGATCTGAGAGCGGGTGCGCCCTTCCTCATTCTTTCACACAGCAGGCAAAGCAGTTTCCGCCCCGTGCCCATAAATAGTCACATGACCTGCTGACATCTCTTTGCCCTCCTGTACCTGCCTGATCCAGTCTGACCACACCCAGCCACCAACAGGCACCACAGTGCCCTGCTGTCCTGGAGTCCTGCAACCGGGGAGCTGAAGGGAAGTTCTTCCTTTGCACAATAATAGGTGTGAAAATCTGGTGTATCAGCCTTGGGCCTTGACCACCGGACCAGCTGTCCTGGTGTAACAGCGCTGTGTCTGAACCACTGGACCAGATTTTTACTCTCAGTGTGGCGAAATGTAGCCCCAAATAACAGAGAGAGAAGATCATTGGCAACAACAAGCGCAAAATGGAGGAGGCACAAGGAGTGCTTTTGATCACAACTGAGCCTGGCCTGGCTCAGACTCTTGTGGAAAAGCTGACTTTCATACGAAGGAGTGTGTGTGCGCGCGTGTGTCTGATCGCTGCGGGACAACTGTAACGTCTCATTTCTTGGCAGGGGGATCTGGCCAACCTCGTTCGCACAACAGCAGCTCGACCGATTCCCAGTCCTAATGAGAATTCCAAACAAGTTGCAACACAGGAAACAAAGAGAAAAGCATTCCTATCCTATGTGCAAAAAAAAAAACTAATTACGTAACCCATCGCTGGCCCCCTCCTTCTGTTTATCCCATCATTACAACTCTCGCAGAAACACTATCTCTTGATCAAAAACTCTGCAGCACCTGCCGAGACTCTTTCACGACCGAGGAAATGATCGGATCAGATCAGAAAGTGCTGCTGGGCTGTGTCACTCTGGGACCAGTCCCAAGATCCAGCAGGGACATGCCCAGGAGAAAGGGGGCACTGCCCACGCTGACACCCCTAAGGAACTAAACCTCTTGAGTCCTGAATGAGGACTCCATGTAGCCCTGGCCTGGAATCAAGCACCCACAGTCCTCTACAGTTACTGACACAGCAGATCAGAGAGGACGCAGACTATAGGCACTCAGTCTGTCCCACCCAGCTGCAATGGCTGTTTGTGACGAGCAGATCGTAAGGACCTCCTCTGGCCTGGAGGGCTCCCTTCAGAAAGCCCAGGAGGACTCCAGGGAGCGACTGGGGAGTCTGATCTGGGCTCGCGCTACCCCACGGACATTCTCGGAATCAGCAGGACACAGGTGGGAAATGCTTGGAGGTGCGCTTTAAAACCTCCTCACTGTCGGGGGTTGTGGGGGCGTGGAGCAAGTTGCGCAGCCCTGTGGGTGAAGAACTCTCCTGATCCTTCAAGGAGGACCAGATCCCTGGATCAAGCGGCTGCATGCTCGTATGTGACCTGTCCCGGGTTCTCAGAGAGCAGCTGGCTCGTCTTCCCACACAGGGAGACTGGTGGGCAGGGCTGCACAGACCACTGGAGAATCAGCTTGAGAAGCTCCCAGGGACACCAAGGTACTCTTCCCTTGCTGTCATCCAAAGTGACTCAGTTATAAGGGCTTTTTTTAAAGCAACGTGTTGTTTACGTATCATTGCTTTGGCATCTCCACAAAAAAACAACTGAAATTACTTTTTCCTGCCAACATCTGCCTGATTTCCATGCATCTGTATCCAGGGAGCATCACACATCAAGCACTGCTGTGTTTGTGACTGCTCCCTTTCGTGCCTGGTGGTGTGTCCCCCTCTCCCCACCCCCCCCACTTCATGTCACCCCAGCTCATCAAGGGCTCTGCAATGTTTGTGCAACACCCACAGCAATGCTTATCTCTTGATCAAAAACGACACTCTTACGACAGAGGAAGCGATCGCGCTGAGCCCAGCCCTGGTGTTGAGGCCGACACGCTGGCTTCCCTCAAGAAAACGGCTGGGTGAGATCCATTAACTACTGACGACCACTACTGGCCTCCACAACGGTGCTCTTAGGTCAGCGATCTCGCTCGTTTGCGATGAGCATGAGCAAACTGCCTGAAACACAAGCACATGGCACTCTGAAGCACTGCCAAGGCGCCAGTGAGACACCCCGATCACAGCCAGAGACTGAAAAGCCACATCACTTCCACTCTGAGCAGACGGACGTGATGCAGCCCTAAAGCTACAGAAAAGAGGTAATTAACTGCAGCCCTGAACTCGTGCCCACTGCCAGAGCCGTACTGCCAGGGGCACAGCAGCACAGATGCCACCTTCTTGCCAGTGTATCAGATCACAGGGCAACAGCTGTGGTCAGTCAACATCAGAGTGCCTGAGTGACAGCATGGGGATCTGGCTGTGTTCGAGGTCACGTGCCATGCTGGTGAAGCTCACTGCACGGGATCTTCCAGGAAACAGCTCGGAAGAAATTCCAGGATCTGTGAAACCTCCCCCATGGCCCTGTCCCCCACAGTCCACCCGGTCACCCCAAAAAACAGCCCAGCCCCCCACTGTCCGCATACCAACAGCTCATCGAAACCCAGCGGTTGGTCAGCCGCCCAGTCTGCACATCAGAACGCGAAGCTGCTCTTTGGCTGCACTCAAGCTCCATTCAAACACCTCCCTGTGCCACATAGACGCACACCCCTGCAGTGTCCCCCGACACCCCCGAGACTCAAAGACACGAGGCGCGGAGGCCCAGCAGGGCTCGGAGACAGAACAAACAAGACACAGCGAGACGCAGTGAAAGCAGAATTGTTGTTTTTTTTTTCTCTCCTCGAAAGTGACCTTCAAGCCCACAGTGGCGTACAGAGACAGGAGACAGGCGACAGGCAACAGGAGACAGGAGACAGGAGAGGCTGCAGGAGGAGGGCGCGGAGGACGAGAAGAGCAGTTCCGATCATCCGCGCGAGATGGCTGGGGGTGGCGTGCGAGAATCGGGCCGCTAACGCACTCATCTCCTGGCGGCGGGCCCGACGGGGCAACACTGATTCTGCACCCTGTCCCAGGGCAGTGACAAAACGGGGAGCCCAGCATAGCGGCTTTACACAAAGAGCGGCGGGAGCCTGGAACCCAATCCCCAAGCCTCCGACAGACTCCACAGGATCCTCTCGGGAACGGCGGGACAGGAATCCCCCGACCCTTAAGATGGGCTGTGGGCCGAAAGGGGCGAGCGGGAGACGGCGCCGGCTTCGGGAACGCCCGGGAAAGGGGTACGGCGGGCGCCCCAAGCTCCCCAGCGCGACCCCACTCCTCGCGGGCGGATCTCCGGCACCCCCCGCCCAGGCAGCGGGGCCATCCCGACCTTTTCCCAGGATCCCGCGGCTCCGGCAGGAAAGACCAGGAAAATCCCGGGGGCCGGGGAAGAGGGGAAAGGAAGGACAGGGAGAGAGAGAGACAGACAGAGAGAGAGAGAGAGAGAGACAGGACAAGCGTCTCGCAGGCAGGCGATTGGCGCCCTCCGACACCACAAGGGCGGCGCTGCAGAGGGCCGGGAGCTTTCGGGGGCGGGGTAGGGAGGAGGGGGACGGACCGGTGGCCCCTTGGTTTGCGAGAATATTTATCTGCGTGGAAAAAGAAGAGGGCCAACGATCGCGCTTGATTTCCGGAGGCCGGAAGCGGACAGCAGGCGGCGCGCGCGGGGTTAGTGTCCGTCCGCACGGCAAGACCAGGGGAGAACCCAGCAGGCCCCACCCCACACGGCACAGCCCCTCGCCCGACCGCGTCAGGGCGGAGAAACAGCGTCACGGCGGGGGACAACAGGGGCTCGTGCAGCCGTCCAGCAGGGGGCGCCCCGTGACCCCCACATGCACACACACAGCCCTGGATCCGCCGCTCTCGGGCGGCCACGGTAATATTTGACCACGAGCAGCTGTGAGGCTCCAGGTCCGCACCCCAGACCCAGCATCCTCCCCAAGAGGGGCACCCCCCTTGGGACCAGAGAAACACTCGCTGTTCTAAAGCCACGAACACGTGGGACCCGACCAACCCGGGCTTTGAGAATCCAGGCGTAGCCCTGCCCTGCCCCGGCGGGGGCGAAACGCAGTGCTGCAGAAGGGGGTACCCCGCGGCCCGGAGGCTGCTCTAGGAAGCGAACGCTGCTCGTGTTCTCGGAGGAGGGGTCAGGAGAGTGCTTTCCGCGTCTCCCCCCACCCAGCCCTCACCGGCTGCGTCTGCCACCTGCAATCCGGTCCAGGCTGCAGGACTGCGCAGCTGCAGAAAACTGCGCAGATGAGGCAGCAAGGCCAGGAGGCTGTTCTGCAGATGGAGTGTGAAAAGGTTGCAGAGCTGCTCCTGGTGGTGGTGTGGGGTGGGGGGGTGTGTATGTCACTCCAGTCCATGCACACACACACACGTGCACACGGATATTTACATGGAAGTCATGTCGTTGAGCGCGTGATCCAGCTCCTCGCTAATGGCCTTGTATTTCAGTTTCTGGGCGTACAGCTCGTCTGGGGACAGACGCAGGGGAGGAGAGAGACGGAGAGAGGCGCAGTGAGTGAGCCAGGAGGCAAGGCAGAGGAAAGAGGAAGAGGGCAAGGGGAAATGATCGGAGAGAGAAGGAGGGGGGAGACCCCGAGGAGAGAGAGAGAGCAGAGGGGAGTTAAAAGCCAGGTTGTACCTTCCAAGTCGTCGATGGTCTTCTCCAGCTTGGCCACTGACCTCTCAGCAAACTCGGCTCTGGTCTCAGCCTGGAGGGGGGAGTTAGGGAGCACAGTCAGTGAGCAGAGAGAGGCACTCGAACCCACGAGACCACAGGAGTCAGGGAAGGGAGCCAGAACTAGCCAATTAGTGACTGGATAAGATGCTGAAATAATCAATACTTCTTTCCAGGCACAGACCTGTGTCTTTAAGGGTATTGTACCTGGAAATGGATCCCTCTTAACTGCAGAGACTTACTCATGTCTAACCAGGTTGAAACCACCTAAGGAGCTAACAGAGACCTAGATGAAAGACAGGGGGTGCTGGAAAGACGCCCAGGAGCTGGGGACCACTGTTACACTGGCCAGGGAATTAAGGGCCAGGCAGCCCCCAGCTGAAGAAACATCTGGAAGACCGAGTCCCTCCTACCTCCTTGAGCTTGTCCGTCAGGATCTTGATCTCCTCCTCGTACTTGTCCTCCTTCTGGGAATACTGCGGAAGAGAGAAGAGAGAGACCATCAGAGAGTCCTCTGCTGGAAACCTGGAGCTCCCCGGAGAGCTGGAGAGGGAGACCATACGGATTCGTCTCTCCTAATTTTTCACACCCACAATGCGGTCTGAACAACACTGCAAAAACTGCTCTTCACACTAGCACTCCTTCATCATCATCATACTGGAGAGTCACTGTAAAGACACTCAGTGCAGCTCCTCTGTATCTTCACATGAGCACTCCATCATCATCATCAGAGCTGTAGAATAATGACACTTCAGATCCTTCAGGCTGGGTTTTCTGGTCCTGTCCCAGGAGTCCAGTGTTTCTGCAGGATTTCCAGGTTTCTTCAAGGAGCTGGTAGAGGAGTAAACTGAAGCCAAAAAAAGCCGATTTAGCTCATGCAGAGCCGATCAGGAATGAAAACCTGCTGACAAACTGGCTCTCCAGGATCAGGATGGGACACTCCTGCTTGAAACAGTCCCTTCCGTATTAATCCAGCCTTGAATATGTCACACTGCCCAACTACAGCAAGGAGCTCAAGGGAGGAAAACAGGCAAAACATGACCATATCATGTGACTGATGATTTCAGCTTAGATAATTTCCAAAATATCAATGGCTTTTGAAAGTCAAATAGATCAGGCATCTGTGCATCGAGAGACTGCCACACACTGCCAAAACACGAGCCAGATGTCTAAACCCAACAACAGGACCGGCAGTGCACTGGACTGCAAAGCAGAAAGGAGAGAGAGAGAGACAATCCTGGCTCGGCTCCAGCGGGCTCAGCGCCCTGCGTGGAGCCACCAGCTGCAAGAGCACCGACAACGCCCTGCGCCACTCCCGACGCCACTGGAGC